AGTTAACTGGACAATAGTTACAGAGACAGGTGGAAAGTAGATTCATCGGCCTCAGCTATCCCGAGTGAAGATAAACTCACCCAAATGTGCCATACTAACAGGTGGCCACAAGGCCAGTTCTAGATTTTTTTCACAACAAAATAAATCTTAACAGATATATGGAACCATTAAACTTTGAATTTACGTTTTTTAAAAAGCAAGTATAAACACACTAAAAGCCAGGAAGAAATCTGGTTTGGCAGCTATTCACAAGGCAGAAAGATCAGAAGATTTCATGAACCACAACTTTAATAAAAGCCAACAAAACTATGTAGCTAAGACAGCTTACATGAAAAGAACACTAGGCTGAGAAACAGAAAGCCCAGCTCTCACCCTGGTTCTCTCACACACCAGGCTTTAACCTGCAGGTCTTGGTTTCTCACCTGTAAATTGACAGGATAATGAGGATATCGCCCCCACCTACCTCACAGGACTTTGAAGGGAGCAAATAAGATTACGAATGTAAAAGTGCTTTGAAAATCAAGGGTTTTTTCCCTTAAATCTGGCTACTATCATTATGAAGACATTCATATATATGTAACTACAAAAAAGGGTAACAGTGTTTGGAAGGATACGTTCCAAACTGATGTTAAGTGTGTATGCCTCCCAAGGGGCCTGGATCTCAGAGCCATCCATGCCTCCCTCTTCATCTGCATTGCTCAAATCTTTTAGGAAAGTCTATTCATCTATTACTTGGCAATTTTTTTAATTTGTAAAAGCAAATACAATCACTGACAAAATTAATACAGAGTGCAAGGTTCTCAAACTTTGAGGTTTTTAAGAATTATCTGAGGATTGGTAAAACTGTGGCTGCCCAGGCCCCACGTAGACTTAACTGACAAAAATCTCTGGCTAAATGGGAACAAATAAGGCCAGGCCATTTGTACTTTAACAAGGTCCCCAAGTGATTCTGGTGACTTGATCACTGCTACTACTACTACATTGTTATTAATATTAACTCCTACCATGAATACACGGTCAGAATACCATGTATATCCACTTACTTACTACATGTGAGTCAACTGTTCTCAGCACTTTACAAATATTATCTCATTTAATCCCTACAACAACGTTATAAGTAGGTACTACTATTTAAACACTCTCCTCTCTTTACCCTTGTTTTATAGATGAAATCATTAAAATACAAAGAGATGATTTAACTGGCCCATGGGCCAAAGTCACAGGACTAGTAAGTGGCAGAGCCAGAATATACAACGAAGTTTGAAAATCCTTGATAAAGTTTCCTAAACTAAGACAACAGCTGTATACTCTGGTCAGGTCATATCAAATTCTGTTTTATTTAAGATATTGCATTTAAAGGACACTAAGAAAACTGAGCTGCCTAAAGAATGCATGGTGAAATCACACCAAACCATAAGGCGACAAAAGATGTAGGGCTGTTTACATACTTCCCGCATAATCCTCATCAATTTGTAACATTCTGTCTGTCTCCCCTATTGGACTGTGAGCCCTTGAAGTGCAGGGACCATGTATGTCTTTTCAACTGTACCCTCTGGATAACCGGTTCCCAACTAAAGAAAGGGTTTAATAAGTTAATTAATCGATAAATCTAGAGAAGGTCTGATGACTGTCCTAGGAAATGAAAGGCTATTATGTGGAGGAAAAAACAGATTCATGTGGCTTCAGGGGGTATAACTAAGATCAACAGGTAAAAGGGGTGGGGTAGATTTTGGGACAGTCTAAAATACCTTTCTAGCAACCAAGACCTATCCAGTAACAGAGAAGCACGTCTGCAGTTTGAGACTGATGACCAGAATATAGTAGACAAAAGGTAGGATGTTGGACTATGGCGCCTAGAAGAGCTCTTCCAAGGCTCAAATTCTATTATTCTAAGTTATGATACATTCGTTTATTCTTTGATACATTCTACAGTGACTAGTTACACAAGTACCAGGAGTAAGCACAGAGGATACCACAAAGTGTTCTATAAACTCCCAGTGCCCTCAAGGATCCAGAGAAGAGTAAATACACAGGAGTGAATCTTTCAAGGAGGAAGGAATCAGCAAGGAGTGAGGAGACTTCCGGGCAGGAAACAAGAGGGAAGTCAACAAAGGTGTTATGGAAGAAACACCACCATTTGTGCACAATTCAGTAAGGCTCTAAGCACAAAGGAGGCAGGAAAGCCCTGAGGTGACGAAGACTCAGCTAGACACAATTCGTAAATTCTGGTACTAAAAAGAAAAGGCCTTTAGAGGTCACTTAGTCAAACACACACAACTTTATGGATGTTGCCCTGCTTGCTGTGGGTAAAGAAAGGTTAGTTTACTTTCTTAAATTACATTTTACAAACCAAAAACTCTATCATCAATGATTTCTTCTTTGTTCAGGTTTTTTTTTTTAAAACTAATAGATCCTTTTATTTTCTAGGAAATCTTTTAGATGATTCTGTGTTCAAACATTTGCTATTTTTTGCTACTGTCTACTCTTTCCACTATTTGACAACCAGACTTGCAGTTATCAAAATTGACAAGTTTTAATAACTCAGCTCTTAGTCTAATATTTCTAATCCTTTAAATGGTTATAATATTTACCAACAGTACTACAAAATAAAAAGTATTACGTTATAATCTAAAAACTACAACTTTAGGGCCGGCTCCGTGGCTTAGCGGTTGAGTGCGCGCGCTCTGATGCTGGCGGCCTGGGTTCGGATCCCGGGAGCACCCCGAGGCGCCACTTCTCCGTCCAACGCGAGGCCGAGTCCCACGTGCAGCAGCTGGAGGGATGTGAACCTATGACGTACAACTATCTACTGGGGCTTTGGGGGGAAAAAACTGAATAAATAAAATCTTAAAAAAAAAAAAATAAAAACTACAACTTTATAAGTAGAACATTGTTAAGAATAAATGGAGTCCCAAAAGGAAATTTAAGTTTCAGGCCCAAGAAACTTTCTCATCCAAATTATAAATTGTGTGACTGAGCCACCCAAGAAAATAGAATTAACAAAAGATTGAAGCAAAAAATCTACATCCAAAACCAATACACAAAATATAACATATGTGAACGATAAACTTAATGTTCTTCCGGTCAATCATTTCTGAACATCCCTGTCAAACTATTTTAAGGATCTGAAATCTTGCTCTATAAAAAGCAAGATCCCATCATCTGAGCTACACTTACGAGATTATATCGCAGCAGTTACTGAAGCATACTGCACCAAGCTTCAGATTTTTTGTTCCGATTAGTATAAAAAATGCTTACCTCTTTTACATAAAGTTGAGTCTGTGGCCAAAATCCTGACACATCAGGAGATCTGGGTTCTCAGTTCTAACACTAATTTAAGGTGTAAGGTTAGCAAAGGCCTTTTCCGTATTTATCACTTACATTGTAACGTGGAGATAACAACATTTGACACCTCCGCCATCAACAGTCTCTTCAAAGGATTTCTGACTTTGGTTAACCTCAGTTGTGAGAATATAAGGCCATGGCTGAAAACTCCTTGTTAAAAATTAAAACTTTGAAAAATCTAAAATAGTGCTACACGTTAATGATAAACTATGAACTATAGAAACTGAGACTCGACTAACAATTGCTAAAAAAGGTACAACTACACAATTTGACAAAAACGAATAAGCAAATGGCTCACCAAAATTTAAATCTTTCTTAGCAAATGGAGGAGACAAATAATATTCAGTAACTCTGGGACATTGTGGTGTTATTTTTCTTATCTATATGGTCTCTGCATCAATGTTACTCTTCTCCCACTCTCCTGATGAGCAAAAAGAGCCCACTGTCCAGGATCCCTCATACCAAGAGCTCAGTAAATGTCACAAATAATAACAATAAAAATAATAAAAGCGACAATTTCTAAAGCCAGAATTTATACCGGAGTGTGGCACCCGAACAGGGTGCAAGGCACATGGCAGCATGCAACTATTTCTCGCTTCTGACTCTTCTGCATCACTGCCTCCCAAAGGACTAGAGAATCTGAAGCTCTTACTGCCACATCTACAAATTAAAGTATCATGTTCAAAGAGCTCACAGGTTCTACAAACGGTCAGTATTTAATGAACGAACCCCACGACAGAGAAACTCACCCAGGTGCAACAAGACACGCTTTAAGGCTCCACCTATTTTTTTTTAATTTTAGAAATAAACACAACTATTTTAAAAACATTATGTAATAAGTTAGACTCTGGAAAACCCCATACTTATCCGAGCGGCTCAGAAAATGGAAAGCAAAATTCGATTAGCTCCATTGTACCCAACCAGGCTAACGTGCAAGATCACACACTCATCTTCGTCAGAGCGTCTCTGCCAATACCAAAGAACAACAAAGGCAAGTTGAGGAGGCTGCACAAGGCTTAACTCAGCACTTGTCCGCTTTCCCAGCTTCCGAAAGCAGCTCTCTGCGGGCCCCAAGGACCAAGGGGACCCTCCGCATCCCGCCCGGCCGGCTGCTGGGCTCGGCGCCGCTCGCTCAGCTTTTGTCTGGCCGGGCTGGGAGCCCGGCCGCCCGCCTCCCCGGCACCCCTTCCCTCTGGATCTTTCTCCACACCCATCACTCTTCCATGATTAGTTGTTGTGGGTTTCTCTCCCTCGCCCCCCTCCCCTTGCAATCCCGGGATCATTTCAAACGCGACTCGGGGTTCACTGGCTTCTCCTCCCCGGCCGGGACATTCGGGTCAGGGAGGGGGCCCGGGGTGGGGTCCGGGAGAGGAAAAGAGAAGGGGACACAAAGCCGGGCTGACCTCACAGCCGCCCTCCCCCCTGCAAAGCAGCCTGGGATCAGCGACCTACCGGTTGGATAAACAACCCTCCCATCCCGCTCCTCGTCCGGCTCCCACCAAAGGGCCGCCCCCTCCCCCCCAAAGTGCACCCGAGAGCCGATGACAGCGCTGGACATCGCCCCCACCCAAACTCGGCGCCCGCCACCGCGAGGGAGGGGGCAGGGGCCTGGGAGGGCTGGGGTCTAAATCTCCTCGCCCTAACCGGGTACTTACAGCCATATTATTCGCTACTCTTGCCGCTGCCACCAGACAGCCGCCGCCTTCTCCTCCACCCCAATGAGGTTAAGCGCTTGGTGCGGAGATTAAAAAGAAAAAAAAAAAAAAATAGATGTCGAGAGCGCCTGCGCAGTGCAGTCTCCCTTTCTCCCCTTACCGCCACCGACCCAGCTGAACCATAGAGAATGTAAACCGAGACCAGAGAGGCGACTGCCTCTCTATGGTAACGCCCTGCGCAGGCGCCAGGCTGGCTGCTCTGGGCTTCAGGAGCTGCAAATCCCAGGAGCCTTTGCCTCTTCTGAGAATGTCAGATGACCCTGATGGGGACCCGTAGAGTAAAGGTTCTTTCAGGGAAGGGAAGCCAGGGTGTAGCTGTGCCTTCTGGGGAGTTGCGGCAAAACTCAGACTAGGCAAGGACGATCGGATCTAAGCCGTCACGACAATAGGGCACCAAAAAGCATGGAGTGTGGTGAAGAGAGCTAAGGAGGATCCAGGAAAGCCTGGGTAAAAGTCGTCCGGCCGGAAGTTCCTCCGGTCGGGGGCGGGGTTTAATACCTTAGGGAAACAACGGCCTTTCACTTCTGGGTGACGTGCGTCGCGCCCCTATCGAGCGACTTGACTGAAGGAGATTGTGCCCTGCGACTTGCCGTACCGCTTGCGTCCGTTCTCCTTTCCTTTCTCGAGTAGGCGCGGGCGCTTCAGCCGGAAGCACAACTTCTAACGGTTTTTTGCGCTTTTTGAAGCAGAGCGGCCCTCACCTGGGCCTCGGAGATTCTTGAGACGGCCAGCCAGAATCCGTTTCTTTCTTGAGCGTCTCCACAAATAACGCTGCTTCTGTCCTCCCTCTCGCTTTCGGATGATATCTGGGAAAGTGTTTCGGAGGATGGAAAACTGTGCAAGTTATAGGGCTGCCTTTAAGGATCTGAAGGACGCACAGTTTTGCCGCGTCAAGCCTCTGCCCTCGCCGGTAATTTGATGTTGAATGCTTTTGTGTGAGATTACACACTGCTTCCTGGAGGTCACTGTTAGAGTGTGAGTTGACTTCCCTCCATCTCGACGTCCAGTGCATTGAGTTGTCACCGGGAGCTGTTGTAGGCCGAGCTCCGTGCTGGTGGCGGGTGTATGTGTTGGGAGAGGGATGCGGGAGGAGAGCTGTAAGATAATGCCCCTGATACGGGGGCTTAGATGGTGTAAGTGGAGAGACTAAGCTGAAGCATTAAGAATAAAGCCGTGTGTAGCCCCTCTGTGTAGTGCAGAAAAGGGAGAGGACTGTGGTCTGAAGGAGTAGGGATGACATGGAGGATGTGACTCCGGGTTGGATCTAGAAAAAGTAACCTATCTTTGGGGCGAAAGCACAAGCAACTTTTTAAAAATGGGTAGTAATGACGAAAGAGGATTCCAGAGAAGAAACACCTTGGGGCAAAGGCTCAAAAGGGAGTGGGTGTTACTACCGGAAGTACAATGAAGACAGCTAACTGAAACGGGGGGATAAAGAAGACGGGAATAGTGGAAAGTAAGGTTTGATAAATAGGATGGGAGTTTTTTTTAACTTTAATAGTGGTAAAATACACATAACAAAATTTACCATCTTAACCACTTTTAAGTGTACAATTCAGTAGAGTTAAGTACATTTACGTTGTTGTGCAGCCGTTTCCAGAGCTCTTTTCATCTTACAAAACTAGAATTCTATACCCATTAAACAGCTTCTGGTTACTCCCTTTTCCCAGCTCCTGGCAAGCACCGTTCTACTTCTTGTCTATGAATTTGACTACTCAAGTGCCTTATATAAGTGGAGTTATACAGTATTTGACTTTGTGACTGACATTTCATTTAGCATAATGTCTTCAAGGTTATTCTGTGTTGTAGCGTGGATCAGAACTTCCTTCCTTTTGAAGGCTTAATAATACTCCATTGTATGTATTTACCACTATGGACACTTGGGTAACTTATACCTTTTGGCTATTGTGAATAATACTGCTATGAACGTAGGTGTACAAATATCTCTTTGAGACTGCTTTCAATAGGATCCGGGATTTTGAAACCAAGTAGAGAAATCCAGGGCCGGCCCGGTGGCTTAGCGGTTAAGTGCGTGCGCTCCGCTGCTGGCGGCCTGGTTCGGATCCCGGGCGCACACCAACGCACCGCTTCTCTGGCCATGCTGAGGCCACGTCCCACATACAGCAACTAGAAGGATGTGCAGTTATGACATACAACTATCTACTGGGGCTTTGGGGGGAAAAAATAAATAAATAAAATCTTAAAAAAAAAAAAAGAAATCCATACTGTTTCAGATTCTCAACTAGGGTTAGTAATATGGTAAAAGAACTGTTTAGAAAGTGACCCTGTGAGTAGAAGCTCAATACATCCTCCCTTTATATGAAACATTTATGGAGTCGTTAAGATATGCCAGACATTGTACTACTGCTTTATATAAATTATTGATATGTCATTGAATCCATCAAAATAAACATGACCCAATTGTTATTCACCACATTTTACCAGTGAGAAAAGCAAGGTTCTAGGTTACAGATAGGCTGAGGGGAAGCTCACCAAGCACACATACACAGAAGTGATTAGGAAACAACTCCCATGGGAGCTGGGCACCCATGGGCACAGACTATTCACTGGTTTGGACAAGCATATTGAAAAAAAAAATTTACACATAAGAGCGTTCACAGGAGAAAGAATGGGCTGACGTCAAGAGCTTCCACTGTCAAATTGCTGGTATGTATAAGGGCTTAACACAGCAAAACCGCATTTTCCAAGGTCCCTAGGAGAACCCTGGGGATTGAATCCAGGTCTGTTCATTGCCTTTAAAAAATGTAGAATGCAAGGTAAGTATATCTTTGTACATAATAGGGACGTTAATAAGATACATCATTCCCTACTCAATACTTCCATCTTTTATTTTACGTTCTTGAAAATCTTGTGACATCGTTTAAAGCAATGATCTCCTTTTGGCAGATGAGGAAATTGAGGGCCAGAAAGGAAAAGATTTGCCAATGTCACATGGCTAGTTGGTACCAAGGCTGTAACTGAAACCTGAACTCCAGAATTCCTGCTCTGTGCTTTGGGCTCCCTTACAAAGATAGATACTATAGTCTGAGTGAGTGCACAATGTTTCTGTTCAGTCAGTCTCATCTTCCTCAGGGATACATTCCCAAACTCCCAGGAAGCCAGTTGAACAATGAGGCAGAGAGTATAAGTGCATTATAAGCAGCATTCACACACTCAAAATGCTCTGTACCAACTATATGCCACTTAGAAAAGCAGGAAAAAAAATCCCTGTTCGTGGAGAGAGGAGATAGAAAATAAAGTAATAGATAAAATATATATGTCAGGTAGGATAAGTATTGTGGGGAAAAATGAAGAGGGGGAAATCGTGCTAAGGATAGGGAAAGAGATTTCTGTTTAAATAGGACAAGGGGGGACCCACTGAGAAGCAAACTTTGAGCAAAGATCCGAAGGAGGTGGGGGAGCAAGAAATGTCCTTTATCCAGGAGAAGGATGTTCCAGGTAGAAAGAATGGCAAGTGCAAAGATTCTGAGGCAGAAGGATGCCTACCACATTCTAAGAACAGAAAGGAGGCCAGAGTGGCAGAAGCAGAGTATGGGAGGGAAAAAGTAGGAAATCAGGTCACAGGTAACACGATGCCAAATTGTGGAGAGATTTAAAGGGCACTGTAAGGATTTTGGCTTTTACTGAGTGAAATGGGAAGCCATTGGAAGGTTGTGAGCAGAGAAGTAACGTGATTTTACTTCCATTTTCATTTATTTTTTTGTTGTTATTTTTGTGTGTGTATGTGAGGAAGATTAGCCCTGAGCTAACATCTGTTGCCAATCCTCCTCTTTTTGCTGAGGAAGATTGGCCCTGGCCTAACATCCGTGCCCATCTTCCTCTACTTTATATGGGATGCCACCACAGCATGTCTTGATGAGCAGCACGTCGGTGCGTGCCTGGGATCAGAAGCTGCGAACACCAGGCGCCAAAGCAGAACGCGCGCACTTAACAGCTACACCACCGGACCGGCCCCACTTCCATTTTTAAAGAATCACTTTAGCTTCTGTTTTGAGAGGAGATTGCAGGGGAGTCAGGAGTTTTGAGAACAGATTGTAGAGGAGTAGGGAGTTTCGAGAATAGATTGTAGGGGAGCAAGAGGGAGACGACGTAGGAAGCCATTGCAGTACTCCCTAGTGAAACAATGGTGGCTTGAGAAGAGTGCAAGTAGTGGAGGGCTGAGGTATCAGGATAGATTCAGACAGGAAGGCACACAGGATTTGATGATTAATTGATATAGGGTGTGAGAAAAAGGAGAGTTAAGACGACTTCAAGATTTTCGGCCTGAGCATTTTGAAGAATGGAGGTACCCTTTACTGAAATGAGACTGGGAGGAGCAGATTGGGACTGGGAAGAGATAATAAATTAAATTTTGGAGATGTTAAGTTTGAAATGCCTATTAAATTACCAGATGGAAATATCAAGAGTCTAACATATTTCTGCAATATGAGTCTAATGTATTTCTGTAAGTTATATCTATAAGTAAGAAGAAGAGTCCAGACTGGATGTGTAAATTTGGTAGCCATCAGCATGTGGCTAGTATTTAAAGCCATGAGATCATCTAGATAGTAAGTGCAGACAAATTTGAAAGAGTTATCTAAGGACTGAGCCCTGGAGCAGTCTAGCATTAGAGATTGAGGTGGTAATGAAACCAGCAAAGGAGACAGAAAGAGCAACCACTGAAACAAGAAGAAGCCAGGAAGAGCAACCAAGTCGATTGCTAATGGACTATAATGGTGGAGATGAAAGCCTGATTGGAATGGGTTCAAAAGAGAATGGTAAGAACAGAATCAGAGAGGAAGAATAGATAATTTGGAGGAAGAATTTGGTTGTAAGGGTAAGGGGAAAGAAAAGTGGGGTGATACTTCAAGGGGTAGATAGGGTCGAGAATAATTTTTTAATTATTTCATCTATAACTATTGTAGTATTTCTAAAAGATAAGATTCTTTTTATTAAATACTGATACCAAACCTTAATCTCAAGTTGATGTGCCCAATGTGTAATAAGCCAATTCCTGAGACATTGGTGCTTGGAGATGGAGAAT